TTGTAGGAAAGTGTGTGATGGTCTGTATAGTTATTTGTATTAAGTGAGACTCATTGTGATGTCTCTGCATTTATTTTATTGCTTCAACTTAAAAATGGATGGCATAATATAATTTAGCCTGTGGCATCAGTGATGGAAATGATACCTTTCTAAAGGGGTTTATCTTAATGTGCTGCTTCTTGAAGGCTTACACCTCTAGAACTGTGTTCCCTTCTGTTGTGCCATCTTTTTTTTTTAAGTATACATATATATATATAAGTATGTATATATATATATATATATGTGACCAGCCCTGGTTACTCCCAACTCCCCCACCTTGCTTCTCTTTGGACCATGAAAAGCCCCTGAGTAGTGACTTCTGGAGCTGGGTAACTTACAAAGTGAAACAACCTTTACATGGAGAAGTAATTTGCATATGTGGTATAGAAAGCTGTTATTAGGTATCACAGGTTTACTTTAAACCATTTAACTTATGCTCCAAAGTAACTGTAATTTGATGTTGGTAGGATAGCAGATTATGATGAAAAGCTTTAATTGTATGTTATAAAGTCATAGTTCACATGCTTAAATCTGGATTAACAGAATTTAAGCAATTCTTGACATGTATGAATGTCTCCTTAATATACTGATTACAAAGCATTAAAAAATAATAATTTTTTGAGAGGTTTTTGCTATAGGGTGTGTGCGCTCACCAGAAAGACACAGACAGAGAGACAGAGAGCAAGAAAGCAAGAAATCATCCCCTGAGGGGGACGGCCACACTACAATCCCTTGTCCAGTCTCATCTCAGGATCTTGGACACGCACGCACATGCACCCGGTGTAAGTTTAAGCCACCAGGTCTGGGACTCAAATCACAGTCGACTACATGGCAGTCCAGTAACATAGCCATTATGCCATCTGTTGGCCCCTCTTTTAAAATAATTTTTTAAAATATATTTATTTCTTTCAAAAGAAAGACGAATCCTATAGCAAAAACCTCTCCAAAAAAAAAAAAAAAAAAAGACGAAGAGAAAGAAATAGCACTCTCAAAGGTTTTTGGTTTTTTGTTTTCTACAGGGTGTGCACACTCTCCAGAAAAAGTGAGCTATCACCGCCCTCCCACCCCCCACCCCATGGGGACAGTCACACTACAATCCTTTCTCCTCTACTCTCCTCTTGATTTTTTGGGCACACACGCACACATACCCAGAATGATTTTCAAACTGCCCAGTCTGGGACTTGATCTACACAGTCAGCTCTGTGGGATCCAGCTATTTAACCTCCATGTCACCTATTGGCCCCCACCTACCACAGGGTCATAACTCTACAATCCACTATGGGCCTCAGTCAGTACCAGATCATGAACACACATGTGCCCAGCACACTCATAGAGGTCTCTGGATGCAAACCTGGACCTTTCTCATGTAAGTCAGTCTTGTAGAGTGTCACCTTTTCTTTTCTCTTCTCTTCTCTTCTCTTCTCTTCTCTTCTCTTCTCTTCTCTTCTCTTCTCTTCTCTTCTCTTCTCTTCTCTTCTCTTCTCTTCTCTTCTCTTCTCTTCTCTTCTCTTCTCTTCTCTTCTCTTCTCTTCTCTTCTCTTCTCTTCTCTTCTCTTCTCTTCTCTTCTCTTCTCTTCTCTTCTCTTCTCTTCTCTTCTCTTCTCTTCTCTTCTCTTCTCCTTCATTCTCCTCTTGGGATCTTGGACACGCACACAAACGCGCCCAGCATCAGTTTAAGCCACTGGGTCCAGGACTTGAACCACGGTCGACTACATGGGAGTCCAGCGACATAGCCATTACGCCACCTGCTGGCCCCATAGAGTGTCACTTTTTACCACTGGCCCACTGTCTGGCCCTGGAAGTCAGGATTTTTAAACCCTATTTTCTTTGTTTTTAAGGTTTTTGTCATAGAGTGTGTGCGCTCACTAGAGAGAGAGAGAGAGAGACCGTGAGAAAGAAAGTAAGAAATCATCCCCACTGGGGATGGCCATGCTGCAATCCCTTCTCTGTTTTTCTCCTGGGATTTTGGGCACACATGCACATGTGACAGCATGATTTTCAAGCCAGCAGATCCAGGACTTGAACTGGCATTAACTATTTGGGTGTCAAGCTTCTTAACCACCATGCCACCCACTGACCCCAACCCTACTTTTCCTTTCTTTTTTTAGAATTATTTATTTAATTTTATCCATTATTATTTTTAAAATTTGACTAGAGAGGGGACCAGCAGGTGGCATGGTGGTTAAGAAGCTTGACACCCAAATAGTTAATGCCAGTTCAAGTCCTGGACCTTGTGGCTTGCTTTCTCACTTTCCCTCTCTCTCTCTGTGTATCTCTCTCTGGTCAAATTAAAATAAATTAATGAATAAATAAAATTAAATAAATAATTATAAAAATAAATTTGACTAGAGAGAGCAGGAAAGTGAGAAAGCAAGCCACAAGGTCCAGGACTTGAACTGCAGTCAGCACCCTAGCCAACATTCCACCTGCTGACCCTCTAACTCTACTTTTCTAACAATTACCATTGCAAGTCAGATTAGAAGACTTTGTACATGTAGACTAAGATAATCATCTATATATTTAAATAAAGATCCTTTGGTGATCATCTCAGAATCCAAACGCCATGTACAGACACTGCCATATACAGAAAACTATGCTAGCTATCTTTGCAATTTGCTTTGTAACTTTTATCCCAGATACATTCAATACTCTGAGAAGACTGGATCACACCATAGCCGAATATCAAATGATGAACACAATTTCTACCATGTCTTGGGCTTTGAGGGCACATAATGTATGTCTTCATTTAATAAAACTGTGTTAATACACATCACAGAGCAAATGACTTACTTCACTTAGGTGATATGAGAAGTCCAGCAATTTGATGCCAGGTGACATGAGAATGGACTATGTTCCACTGAAGTTATACTGCTGACACAATGCCTTTTAAAAACTCCTCACATAGTGGTTTTCTGGTAAATATTTATTTATTTTTCTGAAACTTTTAAAAATATTAATTAATTGACATTCATTCCCTAAGCATCATCACAGCATACAAAATATGATTTCCCATTCAGAATATACTGCATAGTTGCTTAATTATGCTTGTTATCATCAATAATTTTCTATTTCTAGTTTCATATGTATATATATATTTTTTTTTTCCCCCACATGTTTCTGACACTCTGCCCTTTCCCACCCTCCTCCCACACTATCTCTGGTGTTTACAGTTGTTTTCTATTGCTTTTTCCTCCACATTTTCTTAAGTAATTTAACTACTTTCAATAGCAAGTTCAGCTGGTAATTTCAAGAAAAGCAGTTTTAACTTTAATAAATCAAAAAAATGCTAAAGAATTTTGCTTAAAATGTCAAGCCAGGAAACAGGTGAGGATTCTGTTCAAATAGTAGGTACATGAATCTATCAACAGCTCAGGACAGGACAAAAATCCTTAAAACTGGAAAACAAAGCCTAGGAGAAAATCAGCATTGTTTTTATCACAAGTCACAGAATGCTATTTCACTAGTTCAGTCTCATGTACTTAAATCTATATTCTTTTGTAGTTCAATCCTCCTAATTAAATTCTGGGATATAATATTCAACTCCAGATTGTCCCTACGATTAAGTTGGCAATTTTCTTAGTTTTTGAACTCTTATTTCTGTGTGTCTGTTGTATTTAATTTTCCTGGTATAGCACTCCCTTGAGAACTTCTTGGAGATCTGGTCTGGTGCTGGTAAATTCTTTCAGATTTTGTTTATCTGAGAACATTCTTGTCTTTTCTTCCCATATGAAGGATAATCTTGCCAAGTACAGTATTCTTGGCTTAAACTGCTTTTCCCTTAACACTTTGAATATATTTTCCCATTCTTTCCTTGCTTGCATTGTTTCTGATGAGAGGTCTGCTGTTAGCCTGATGGGATATTCTTTATAGGTAACTTGATGTTTCTCTCTTGCCAGTCTTGGTATCTTGTCTTTGTAGATTTGGTCAATCTGGCTATAATGTGTCTTGGAGAAGATCTTTTTAGGTTGATTCTGTTTGGTCCTTTGTATTTCCTGGGACTGGATCTTTGAGTGTCTCTCTAGGTTTGGAAAGTTTTCTTGCAGGATTTCATGGAATAGATTATCAATGTGCTTAAGAATCTCTTCACCTTCTGGGATATCAATTATAAGATGTTTGGACATTTGATGATATCTAGTATTTCTCGTATATTATTCTCATTTTTGGGGGCAATTTTCTCGGTCTTTGTGGTGGATTTTTTTAGGCCAGCAATTTTCTCTTCTACACCTGAGATTCTATTTTCTGTGTCATCTAGTCTGCTTTTAATACTTTCAAGGGAAATTTTTACTTCCTGTACTATAGCCTTCATCTCTAACAGGTCCATTTGATTCTTTTTTAAAGTGTGTAATTCCTCTTTTAGATCTTGCAAGAATTCCCTCATCTCCTGGAACTTGTCAACTCCTTTCTCCTGTTTCTTACACAGTTCATTGTCTCTCTTCTCTTCCATCTCTGTTAGCTTCATCAGTATGAATATTCTAAATTCTTGTGTGTGTGTGTGTGTGTGTGTGTGTGTGTGTGTGTG